TTGCTCCCATCTCCCAAACTAATTAGAATGTGGCATTCGACAGTTGATTTACCAGTTTCCAATTGATGTTACATTTGCTCATGGAGCACAAGTTGACCAGCTAAGAACTGTATACAAGAACAAAGCAGCAATTACTAACAAGATGCTGCAATTTTAAAACAGAGAATTGTATAGTACAGTCTTCAGCTTTCAGAAAAATACAACATTTTACTTGTATATGGCAAAGAAAAATAAACTGGTACTGCTGATGTCAACATTGCACCATGGTAGAGAAATTGTCAGAAAGACGTTGACAAAACTGAAGCCTGAGGTAGTGACTTTTACAACTCATAGGTGGAGTAGTTATTGTTGATGAGTTACACAGCGACTGTGATGTCATTTGAAACACGAAACATTGGCCAGTGGTTGTGTTTTACTCAATCCTAAACATGTGACGTAAATAATTTGATAGTTCATAAAGAAAATACCAAGAGCAAAATACCACAGAGCAATTTTCTTAGAGGATTGGGACTGGAATTCTTTTTTTTTTGTATCGGGAATCAAACTGAGGACTTTGCACTTGCCAGGCAGGCGCTTATGCCACTGAACTATATCCCCAGCCCAGGACTGGAATTCTTAAGAGGTCATTTAAAACAGAGGAAGAACAAAATATTTCTGCACAGGTAATAATGCAAAAAAGTGTGGACTATACTGGTGAACTGACAGGTGGACAGGCAGTTGCAGCATCACACACCTGCTACAATAGGAAACCAAAAAGATGTCAGCTGTGCCCTATAAAAAAGGACAGGAAAACAAAGCATATGGGCTAGCAGTGTAAGCAATACTTATGCGTGGAACATGCGGTTTTCATGTGTGAAGACTGCCTTGGGTGTGAACCAAAGGTTATTTCTTGGGTGTGAACCAAAGGTTATTTCTGTAGACTTGTTTGTATTTACATTAGTTCCCAAAAGTTTTTATTTCTGTTGTTATCTTTTAGGTTTTATAAACAAGTAAACAGCTGATGTGAAAATGTTGATGTCTACCGTAAGCACTCATTACACATTTGATATTTTATTCTATTGAGATCTTGTTTTCCTGCTAAATGCACATTGTACAATATTGTCAGACACTCCTGACAAAAGAGGAAGACAAGACAGGTGATAAGAATGGCCTGCCACACAGGAAAGGAAACCTAAGCACACGTGCTGTCCGTGTAAGCAGGACGTATGCATGGAACATGCAGATGTCATGTGTGAACGCTGCTTTGGATGTGACAGTTGAGGCAAAGATTATTTTTGCTGTAGAGTTGTATTGGTACTTTTATTGTAGTGCATATAGGAATGTATTTCTGATGTTATCTTTTAGGTTTTGTAAGCAAGTACACAGCTGATGTGAAAATGTTGATGTTCATTCTAAGCGTGCGATACATGCTAAGAATTTAATACTTTATTTTATTACTATTTCATATTCTTGTTAACTACATATTGTATAATAAGAACCTCCTGACAAAACACCA